TAGATTTTTCTAGCTAAGCCTTATGCCAAAGTAGTGCTATTTAAAGTGCATATTTTGGATAGCCTCACAGGATTATGCCTTATGCCTTTAAAGTGAAAATGAAGGAAAATTATCAATATTCCAAAGAAAATTACTTGAGGTACATGCTCTCTTAACAACATCTTCAAGAAGTCAGAATAGGGTTTTAAGGATTGATAGCAACAATACAACTCAAGTAACAGTTGACACATCACAATATACCTACTTATCACAGTATGTCACTTAACATTTTATGCATAAGCAGATAGAAAATACCTACAATTTTCTTGTTTTTATCAATCGTGCCTGCATATTTACAGGCTTGTGATAATCTCAATTTAGGTTTGAAAGACGCTTAAAGAATTGTAATAGCATGAATTTTACCAATTACAAAGCCTTTGTGCCGTTGGTTTAAATTTTACTACCTACCTAGTTTAATATCCTTCAAGTACACATGTTGCTAACTCATCATACAAATTTTTAGCATCACAAATTGGAACTCCTGTAGACTAATAAACTTCTCCTTAAAAGTAAATATTGCATGAGTCATTATTGCTTCTGCCAATGGAAATTAGAGATGAAATGGATAAAAAATTAATTTTTGAAAAGCTTGGCGTACGCTAGTTTGAGAAACTTAATTTTGATCTGATGCTTTAGGAATCCTCTTTCTAGTCATCAGTCTTCAGGAATTTGCCTTGAGGGCTCCAACAGGGTTTCACCCGATGGGGAAGTATTCATGTTTTTCCGTCCTTCTTCTTTTTTACACAAGTTTACCCCTTGCTAATTTTTGTATGATTATTTCAGTATGCCAAAGCATCAACTGTTTTGTCCGTCGGTGGTGTAAGACAACAATTCTCTCTGCCAGAAAACATCAAAATGTCTTTGTTTGGGGCTGAGTTTCTTCAGAATATCGAGCACTACTTGTCTATTCCTAATGAATTTACTCCAAATATCCAGTTTCAGCCTGATGGTTACTTATTTCTTGCCACTGAAAAGAGTGCACATATCCTCGAACAAAATTCCAAGCTTCAATGGTATGTATCCGCTTCTAAAACTGTTTACTTATTAAATATTGTGGAATTATGGATACAATCATGATTTTCGAAGTTGAAATAGATATTCTCAAGAATCATCACTTCAATATGAGACCTTAGTATTGGATTTGTAATTAAGTTAAGCTAAATTTAAAATTTGGTTTTCAGAAAAAATTATTTGTTGTAGTACATCAGTAACATCTCTTTTTTTTCTCATAGCTTGAAATGGAAACGAACTTTAAGGCCAAACTTTCAGCAGTCACATTTTACCTTTTTCTAACCATCAACTAGAAACCTTTCCATTTCTTAATTTTTGCAAGCTTTTATGATTGATTATACAATCAAAGCGAGACACCTGTAACAAAAATAATGGCTTAAATAACTTGTTTGGTGCGTCTTGTAAATTAAATGGAAATTAATTTTAAAAAAATTCCAAAATCATCAGAAATGTGTACCATAAGGAAAGGTTGTTTGAAGGTAAGGTAGTCAGTGTTAGTTCCTCATAAGGATCAAATGTCAGGTTGAATGGCATAGACCCAGACCACAGAGTTAGCAAGTGCTCTTTCTCCTAGATATCACTTGCCCATATGCTATCATGATCATTAAGCACTTCTTATGTTTGAGTCTTGAATTGTAGAAACATGCCCTTTATTTCAAAATCGTTGTAAATATTCTTTATTGCAGGGAATTAGGTGCCAAAAATGAACTTCTAACTCCAGCAAAGTTGAAAAAGAAGTTTCCTTGGATTAACACTGAAGGCATTTGCTTAGGTTGTCATGGATTGCGAAATGAAGGGTGGTAAGTTTTCCACGGTAGATGATTGAAGTCACTCCATCAATTTACTCTTTTAAATTTCAAGCTTTGGGTTTTAAATTTTCATCTCTAAAGATTTCATCCTTTAAATTCTGAGTGTTGATCAAAAAGACAGTGCTTTATAGAATCCAAGTACCTACTTTTATTTTCCTTAGTCCAGAATCCACGCAACCTACCCAGGTTATTGGGGGAAAAAATAATATCTAATGGACGACTGCATCTTTTCTTCCAACTGTACACTCTGTTCTGCAATTTTCCTCAAATTTTTCCCATTTATCATTATAAATATTTTGGCAAATAAATGTGCAATAAAAGTGCCTGGATGCCAGTAAAAGGAGAAGTCTCAAAATCTTAGCAACGCTGGCATAGATTTATCGATGGGCAAAGTCAACATTTTACTTATGAAACTGCTTTACGGCACACTAAATTAAAATTCTCCTATCACCCTCTTTATCAAAGCAAACTCTTTCTTTTAGTTAGTCAAGTGGTCTAGTGAGTGCTTATTGTACTGTTATTAACCATGTAGGGGATTGGCTAAAAGTTTCTTACTTTTTAAAGGTAGGAATGATGCTGATGCATTTTGCTCATTCAAGCATTATCAAGGCGTAACAAAACTTAATCCACTCCGTAAGGAGTCGTCAAAAACTGGTATCAAAACATTTTAAAACTTGATAAAAACTTAACCTGATTTTTGTTTTTCTCTAATTAATTTGATTGCTCTCTGATAATTAATGATACTGGTGCGGCCTTAGATTTTCGTTTTCCAACTTCACTTTCATTCTGCATGAAAAATAGATCAAAACAGTTCGTCTTGCACAGAGATAACACTAACATATGTCTGCCTTTCAAAATATGATAATGGTTTCATGGAATGTATAACGCATTGTTGCGGGAAAGAATGTTTAATGTCAAATGAAAAATTTTCCCTTCTTTCACAGGTTCGACCCTTGGACTTTGCTTCAAGCATTCAAGTCAAAAGCTATGTATTACGGAGCAAAATTTTATGAGGGTGAAGTCATACACTTTCAATTTGATGAACAAGTCATAGCAGAATGTCATCACACTGGTGAACGACATCCAGCTCTGGAAAAAGCTTATGTAAGACCTCCTTATATTTACATGATATCCTAGATCTCGATCTCTTACAAACTTTGTATCGCCAGAGGGCATCAACATATTGGAACGCAGAGTATTTGGAAAAGTTTGATTATTTATTAAAGTATACAATTTTAAGAACTCTGACAATCTTGGAGGCAACTACGACCTCATAAAAAAAATATGGTGCAGAAAACATTTGTAATGACTTCTAGAATTTCTGAAGTTAGTTTTTACCAAATGATGATTTTTTGGTTTTTTGTATAAAAACAAGGTAAAAAACTGTCTGCTGATGCATCAAATTTTTAAAAATTAAGTATAATAGCAAATGGCACATGTTATTTTTTTTACTGTGTTGCCCTTTTGAAGCATAAGTTATTTTCTCGGAGGGATTCAAAGACCTTTAATTTCTAGTTTACATAAATATATTAAAAAATCTGCATTCTTCAGATCTCTATTTTGATGGAATACTCAAAAATACGAGGGCGCAATTGAAAGCTTTTTGGCTAGTAAACACTGAAAAGTTTTGCTGCCACTGCCAAATCTGAAAAATCTAAAGGAAGATCAAGTCCTAGCAAGAAAGTATGATGTCTTTCAGGAAAGATAAGAACAAAGTACTTTTATTATAAGATCCAATGTTAGTCATTTTTGGTAGTAAAACATGTTTTTGTAAAATAAGCGTTTTTCAAGAAAATATTTGGAAGTTTGCTCCTCATTAGGACCTGTATTGGATAAGTATTCCGTTTAAAAAGCAATAGTGCAAATTGTGATCTAGTGTCAGAAAAGGGGAGCTTTATCTAGAACAATGTCTACCCTGATTTCTGCCATGGAGGCTATTTTGTTGAAAGTTAAGTCCTGTGATCTGGCAGTGTGTCCGCCCGCAACCCCCCCCCCTCCTCTGCCTAAATGTCTCAGCATCTCTAGAATTAATCTCGAAGACTCACAAAGGCGCTTTCATCTGCGGTTGTAAGCTGACAACATCTTTCTCCCTTTTTAACTCTGCAAAAATATTTTGAACCTTCCAAAAATTCTCTCTTCTGTCAACTGTGTTTTTTTTTTCTTAAATGTGTCTAGTGACAGAATATATTATAATTTTACCACGGGGAGAGTATCATTAAATAATTACCATCAAGCATCTCTCTGAGCTCTCCTCTATGATTTCAGTAAAATAGCCCAAAAAAGAGGGAGGCATTTCTCCAAACTTCATCTTTGTATGTGCTTTTTTATGTATTTTATAAGATAAGAATGGATCAAATGAAACAATTAACTTTGCTAGTTGCTCACAGCTTCTCAGACTCATAGGTTAGGCTGAATGTGTTCTTTAATTTAATACACACTGTTTAAATGTTGAAAAATACAGTTGTTTTTGGAAAACTTGGAAATAGAACCTCTGAATTCTTACCTGTAGTTAATTTTTACAGATCAAAATTGGCCCTGATGAAATCAAGGAAGTTCAGTTTGCTATATGCGTTATCTGTGCTGGTCCAGAATCAGGGAGACTTGCCAAGTTAGCAGGAGTTGGCAGTGGAGCAGGAGTGCGATCTATTGAATTACCCATAGTACCTAGGTAATTTTCTTTTGTCTCTCGCTCATTTTCTTTATGAGTCAGCTATGTAGTTATATTATAGTTCTGTCCTAGTGCAAAGAACCACAATGGCTTTTTCTCAAGAGCCTTCAATCGGGCTATTGAGGCTCTTTGTTTTGACACATATCCTCTTGAATTCAGGTAGTGAGTGCGGCAGGTTCTTGTTAGGAAACTCTAGTACAAATGCCTAATAAATTCATAGATTACATAGAGTCGCAATGTAAATGGGAGAGCTGGCGCCATGTTCTGCTCAACGAATTCCGAGCTCGGTGTGCGCCAAGTTCGGGTTGCTTTTTCGATACATTTTCGATCCAAAATGGGGGTGTGGAATACGTGGTAATCCCTATCTCCTCTGTTGTTGTTGTTGTCATCGGATGGCCGGGTACCCGTGTATCACAAACAATCGATTATGTATCGAAAAAGTGACCCGGCGTCACACAGGAGTCTCCGAATTCGGGACATGGAAAATGCTTAAAAGTGGCGCTAGCTCTCCCACTTACATTACGACTCTATGTACTCTATGAATAAATTATAATTACTCTGCCCATGTTCCTTAATAAATATACTGATTCTATTTTTTCAAATCCACGACCTCCACCCAATACAATTTTCTCATAACTTTTCCCATGATTTCTGCCAGAATTTCCTCTCAATGATTTATCAAGACTCTTTTGCACAGCATCTTTCCAAATTTGAAGGGAGGTCATCAGGAATGACCTTTGTGTCTGTACTTGTAATTCCTTTTAAAAATTTAATCTAGTTACTTCTTTTGCATTTGCATCGGAACTTAATATTCACGCAATAAATCATACAAACACTAATAACAATTATCTTATTGATATTAGAATGATCTGTGAGTTATGTAATAGTGTTGAATCGGCAACTCTTTAATGAGTCTCACTTTTGATTATCATGTTATTTCTCATCCAAATTCAATTAATTTCTGCTCAAACATCTTCTCATCATTATTTGATCATGTGCAGAATGCACAAAGCATGCTCATAAATTGGTACCTTCTTTGGATTAAAAACCAACATTTAATTAGTCTGACAGTCATTGATATTAGCTGATCATTCTCTACTAAAGTTTTTCTAACTGTGTTTCCACTTAAGTAGAGGAGATCATTCATATATGGAGTGTCTTTTTCCTGTGAACGATCATGAGTTGGATGTGGATTCTTCATGATTCTGAACCTCAGTATGTAACTGAAAATGAGCTCATCCTTCACCTAAAATACCCAACATTCCACCATTTTCATTGAGTCATTCTTGTCATTTGAGCATTGCAGTGCTTCAATCTCTCGACTCTACTAATTTTGATGCTTTAATAAGTTTTTTAAATTCATATTTCAGGAAACGATACGTTTTTACTTATCGCTGTCCGGATGGTCCCAGTTTGAACTGTCCTCTGACAGTTGACCCATCTGGGGTGTACTTCAGGTAAATACACATGTGCACAGCAGAATACTAACATTTTGTTAATCAGTGTCTAGGGTGACATTTGAATTTTCTTTTCTTTTCATATGTTATGATTTTAATGTGTGCTTTCTCCCACCGAAGGGGCAGAAAGCGGGGGGGGGGGGGTTTCTAAACTGTATTCGCAAGTCCAACCACTCGATGATCTTTCTTTTTAAGGGAAGGCCTTATTATCGTCCTTGGAGTTGTTCAGCAACATAGGACATTGAAGAAGAATTGCACCTCAGTGCCATGTTTTGCAGCATGAGGAGGTGCTGAGCAAGAGTTCACACAATTATGGCTGCTTGATTGCTGAGTGCAAAATTGTAAATGCTTTTGTGACTGAGGTGCATACCATTGAACACATATGAGGACTTATACACAACAATAGGGGATGTCGAGTTTTCACTTTGTGAGAAAATCGTTTTTGAAGTTTTTGAAGCTTTGCACTTTGCTGCCCGTAGAACCGAGAGGATTCTTATAAAGATTTTCATGAAGAGCAACTCTTCTTGTAAAAAACACGCGTTTTTACGATTTATGGGAGTGAAAAATTGAAGGAGTAACAGCGATATGAAAAAAATATGACATCCGCTATTTTTACTGAAAACATTTTTCTATGCATGAAACAAAGTCTTCAGGAAGGGTGAGGCTGCTAAAATGATTGAATTGTACCAAAAATAAGTCAATGCTGAGTCATTTAATAAAATTGAGCAAAAAACTAAACCGTTTGTAACTGCTACAACAAAAATAAGGAAAAAATTATGTAATCAGTTAAAAAACCAAAAATTCTGGCGAGACGGTCCTGATACGTATCATTTGAGTGTCAGTTGCAGCCCATGGCCGGTGCGCGGGCAGTTATCACAAGTGCTCCACGGTGTCCTGCTGTGCCAGCTGGGGAGGACAGTGGATTCTCATATCCGCTGTTTTTACAAATAACATGGTTTTCACTTCATTTCTCGCCGAAAATTGTGCTGGAAGTCTGAAACTTTGCACAGGCATTTTTGAGAGCTCCAGAATTCGAAAAAAGCGTTTTCATTAGAAATGGCGGATGTCAGTGACTGCTATCATAACATATTAGTCCTCATATGTACAATGAACATGGCGTAAAGTCATGGTGTCTAAGACAGGAAAAACTGAGATCCATCAGGAAATGAAAAATTTTAGGGAAAAATCAGGGAATTTGGTTCAAAAACCAGCAATCTCTTTTTCTGACGCTGGGAGACCATTTTCAGGTTTATATTATTGCGCCTGAGCCACTAATATTGACCTCTTAAAACTTGAAATCGTCAGAATGATAGAGAAGCTTTCATTGGCCAGTTTATGCAAACATCAAAAACGCTGTTGGAGTTGGAAATTTCTAATGTGCTCGAAAGTATTGGCTGAAAGATGGAAAAAATCGATATTCATAGTTGGAACTCGAGAGAGTTTTATAGTTTCTCTCAAGGAAATTCTAGGGAAGGGAAGAAACTTTGGTTTCTCATTAAGGAAGGAGCTCTTGAAAATCAGGGAATGAGCATGGTAAAGAATTCTAGACACCTCAAACCCCCTCCCTCCTTCGTAGAGCGTCATTTATTTTAACGGGTATTATTTCATTTTAAAACTAATTTGAGTTTCATTTAATAATTCATCAGAGATTCATTTTCATACTGTGATATATCCTCTTCTTAAGTCTTTATCTTTACAAGTCTATTAGTATGAGAAGAATTTTCTTATCATAGGTTGATGTCCAAATCATCTGCGATTTTAATAATGATCGAGTTTATCTGCAAGCATTTTTGGAGGTTTGTAAAAGGGTATTTACTAGTCTTTTAGACGAGTAATTATAGATTACTGTAACCTCAGAGTTGTCTTTTGTAACATTATTGTGTATTTTTCTTCCTACGTGAGGATATTCCCTTGTCTCATAAACGTGAGGATATTCCCTTGTCTCATAAAACCACTCATGCGTCATCCCTACGGCTTCTCCTCCAACATTTTTGTCTCTTTTGGTTGCATTTTACCTCTCTTTTAATTTTAATGTATTGCAAACACTTCATTCGTTTTATTGTTAGTTTTCATTTCTTTTCTTTTATACGGGCACACATATGTTTTACTCCCCCTCCCCCCCCATTTTTCTTGCATTTTAATTTTCCATTACTTGTTTACAGACGAGAGGGCTTTGGAAACCTTTATTTAGCTGGCCTCTCACCTGAACCTGATGAAGAGCCTAATCCTGAAAATCTAGAGGTAGATTATGAGTGGTTTGACGAAAAAATTTGGCCACAAATAGCGAAGCGTGCTCCTTGCTTCGAAAACATCAAAGTAAGTGTCCTCTTGTAAGCTTACTTACATAAGATTCCTCTATTATTTTTGGTCTCAATGACTCTTGTGAATCTCAATATGTCAGAGGGGCCTCTCTATTTGTTTTGCATTGATACAGAAACTAAATGTAACTGAGTACAAAGGGAGCACAAGTGAGAACTGAAAACAAAAACAAAAAGAAAACACAGGAAGGAAAACAGAAAAAACATTTCTGAGCTCAGTGCTCTTTTAGAGGATCACGCTCTAATTAGAAGGCGCTTGCATTGAAGGGCTCTAGCTTGCTGCATTTATCTTCATTCCCTCAGCTCTCTCCCTCAGTTTGCAGGAGTTCTTTTACGGCCTCTGTTTTGTTCGTGTAAGACTCTCCTACTTGGCACAACTGAAGGAGGTACCTATGAAAGAGCTCTAGCTCCTTTCTTCCAGCTGTTATTGAAGATGACATCAAGTCATCATCCCCCGCAGTGATTGAGGCAGAAAGTATAAATGTTTCAAGACCCAACTGAACAGGAAAAAACTGAAACATTTGTTTTCTGCATCTCCAAGAAATTAGAGACCTAGCCAGGAGAGCGTGCGAGCATCTGCTGTTGCCTCAGAACAGTTTTTGGCCTCTGTTTAATTACCAGTTAGTTACAGCAACTAATGAGCAAACTGCAGTTGCTAGAAAGCTTTCCTGGCTGAGCATCCAACTTCATGCGCAAGCAAATGATTTTCAAGCTTTGAATTGGGAATCCAACCCTCTCCACTCTCTGATTTTGAGTTAAAAATTGTTAAAAAAATTGACTGTTCAATTCATTTCTCATAATCAGAGTCCTTATAAATTATGAAATTCCATTTTAATCACATGAAGTCTAATAACTGAACACTAGATACTGTGAATGAGAAAATTATAGTGATGAATAACATGACCTCTTTTTTTTTGTGGTGGTTGATGGATTTATTGAGTGGGTGTATTAAAACTCAGAAATAATGGTCTGTTGACATTTTTCTATCATTAAGAGAGAATCAGGAAGTTGCTGGTCAAATTTTGGTTTGACTGGTCTCTGCTGATTGGCTTCTACCCACTAAAAATTGAATAATTTTCTTTCAATTCAGAACTTTTTTCTTTCTCCCATTACTTTAGTTACTAAATGCATGGGCTGGTTACTATGAAACTAATCTTTTCGATGAAAATGGCATTGTGGGGCTGGCACCATCCCATTCTAATTTATACATCGCAGCAGGTTTCAGTGGTCATGGTAAGATCCGGTTTTTCTTCCATAACAATATCCTGTTTCAATCTAAATATCAAGGCTTTCAGGGCTTTCTTCTCTTCACTATTAGTGGATTTGCAGAGGCTCTGATCAAGTGCTGTAAAACATCACATGCGCTTGTTTTGGAGTCAATGGGCCAGTTTTGCTGGTAACAGAATCGTGTTTTGGTGCTTGATTCTTGCAGATTAATTAAAAATAAGAAGATCTGTTCAAACAACAACTTTCTACATTGAATATTAAGCAAGATATCGTCCTTTAAAAAGTTGGTTTTTTTATGTCATCCAGCGCGGTAGGGTATAACATGGTATGTACTACTGCGGTGGATGACGTCATGAATTGAATTTTTTGAGGCACGATATCTCGGTTAATATTCAACCTAGAAAGTTACTATTTAGGCAGATCCTATTATTTTTAGCTAATCTACGAGAATCAAACATCAAAACACGATGCTGTTACTAGCGCAACTGGCCCATTTTCACCAGTAGCATTGCAAAATATCTTAAAAGAGCCATCAAGATCTGTTAATTGCATATTTTCTGGCCCAGTGTTGACAACGAAAGTATTAGTGTGCCACAGGTTTTAAAGGCAAAAGGACATGGAATACCAAGAAATTCAGCGCCGGCTAAATTTCAACATTTTTTTGCACGATGTCTCTTATCTCTTGAGTAAAACGATATTTTAAAATCAAACTATTACATGCCTAAACTATAACTTAGGAGATCTTTTTTTTTCTTTTTATAGAATGAGTGAAGAAAATAACAAAAAACTTCAATAGAGACTCTTGGTTAGTTTTCCTTTATAAAGTAAAACATTAAGTCGACATTTGCAACCTTGCAATCTGAGTGAGACATTTTTCGACTTTAGCTGTGTACATGTTGTCTTATGTTTTAAGCCATGTGTCCCAATTTGGATGAATTTTATCTAGCAAGGTTTTACAATGAACTTCACAGATTTACGGTGAATCCTAGTTTTTCAACGATTTCCCTGAATGGACCACCATTTAGTAATCCTAGCCGTCTTAATTTTCACAATTTAATTTCCTTAATAATTGGAGTATCTTCCTTAATTTGTACCTTTAGATGAGAGCAGAAGAGAAATTATGGCTACCTTTTACATTTGGGAAAAAGGAGTAAATGACACTCTTGAAATGGCAAGAAAAGGATCTACAGAGGTGAAAAATTACTCCTAAGTATTGTAAATCACTGTGCCAGCAGTGTAGCCACAAGAACCTCCTTCTTTGATATCTAAAATCAGGGAAAATGTAACTATGTTCCTTTGGATTGTAACTAAAGTTATTTTTCATTAAGTAGTAACTTTCGCTGTTTCAGGTATTCAACAGTCTCCAGCTGTAGGACGAGCCATCATGGAACTTATTATGTACCATAAATTTATAAAAATCGATCTTGAAAGGTTGTCACCTGAAAGAATACTCCTTAACAAACCTATTTACGAGTCGAATATTGTTTAAATTTGGAAATGACCCTCTGCAGGCAGTCGCCTCTAATCATAAAGATTGACTTACAACTATGTGACTTTATTTCTGTAGATTCTGATGCTATTTCACTATCAAGTTAAGTACCTACTGACCTACTTTTTGGGAGATTTTAAGTAAGATTTTTTTGAAATTTTTCTTCCAATTCTCCTGTAAGCTGGGTGTCAGACACTCAAAAGACATTTCCACTGTGTTTTAAGCTGTGTGTTTAGCAAGAAATGCAGCCTTAATTTTTATTGGAGCCAATCTAACATAATTCTCCTTTGAGATAGGATTTTTTCATATTATCTTAGATACAATGCATGATTTTAGAAAATCTGAGCATCCAAATTACCTGTACTTCCAGAATAAGCATTTCTACCCTGAAGTACATATTTATTCTGAAAAAACAAATTTTACAGATGCCAAGGAGGAGGATGGGTATCGACACTGGCCATTTTAGTTAGGGTCAATCCTTTTCCTTAACTGGACCATTTTTTTGCTCATTGAGAGTCTATTTTTCACGGAATGCAATATGATTTGATCATTTCTGGTCTCTTTTCAGATCTAATACTGATCTAAACATGGGTCTGAAGGCCGATTTCAGCGAAAATAATTTTTCAGGATTCAACTGCGAAATTAGCGTTTTGTGCTTAAATCTGCCTTCGAACCCATGTTTAGGGTTTTAGGATCTATAGAGAGACCGGAAATGACCAAATCATGATGTACTCTGTACAACATAGACCTTCAAAGAGCAGAAAATCTTAGATTAAAGGAAGTTCAGGGTCGGCCCAAAAATTACTCATATGTATCATTACTCTTCCTTCGCTAAATCTGTATTGAAGTACTGTAGACCTGGTTCAGCACAGCAGTATGCTAAGGAATTTTGAATTCTGCAGCTTTTTACAATATTTTTTATGGAGTTCAAAGAAGTTCTAAAGAAGTTGCTTAATATTTGACTTAATATTTGAGTCTAGCCTCTTAATAAATGCAAGTTTTTGTTCATGATTGTTAGCTGTTGCAATTATTTCAATTATTTTAGTTTGTGTAGTAGTATGCGTATCATCGAAAAGAGAGGGGTAAGTCCTTTTAAGCTGTACTTCCATCATAAAAATATATCAACAGTGAAACCTCCAAACAAAGTAACTTGTTTGCTTTGCTTTAAAAGCTCCGCTCTTTAATCTCTTTTTAAAGGAGAAGAAATCATCATCATTTCTTGAGATTTTCACAGTATTCTCTTAGCACAGCAAAGGAAAATTTGTAAAATTTACGTTGACTAAATTTCTGTTAAAAACATAAAGTATATCAGGGAATCTGCACTACCGCATACTGAGATACATGGTTTGGAAGAGTCACTGTCATTATGCTAATGCTTATGGTATGGGTTAAAATCGATTTTAGGCTGAAGAGAGTGGGATCCCCTTAGAGCGTCTATCTTAACAGATGAATTAAATTTAATGAACCCCTCCAAAATTAGGCAGCATTGGATTCCACACAGGTATCACTGATGTTCAAATGAAGTATTTCAATTATATGTATTATGTTACTGATAACTTCACTTGTTGATCCATCCTCCTAACCAGAGGGACCAAAAAGAATGAAGTTAGCTATTTGAAACTACAAAACAAAAAATTAATGCTAGTTCTTTCAAAATCAAATTGGAGATGATGGAAAAACATGTCTGTACCTCAAAATGGAAACTAATAGAGGCAACCTTGAGTTGAACTTTAAAAATTACCATATCAGGTTGAGATCTTACAAGAATTTTTCTCTCTATGACTTTATACCTACGGACTAATAACTGTAGAGCTGATACTTAGTATTTTACTTTTTCATAAATTTGATCATACAAGTGAGTCACTTTCTGAGGAAATTCACAACTTAAAACTTTGTGGTTTAACGATTTTTAATGTAAAACATAATAGAAAATTATTACAAACAAAAAAATTATAGCATAAAAGAACACAAACTTTTAGAACTATCAGGAGAAATTCTTGTCCTGGGAGGCAGATTATCGACATGAATCAGTTAGATGTGAGCAAATTATTTGAACTGTTGCCCTTGAGTGCCAAAAAATCCAGCTTGCTTGCTGGCACTTCTTGATGGAGCAAACCCCAGAAGTTTTTGAATGTTCTGAAATAGGAAATGAACTCAGCTGTGAACAAAATTCTGATGAAAAAAAATAAAAATAACTCAGATGCCTAGAATTCTTTCATGTGCACTTTTTATAAGGACGTATATAATGAGTAGTAATCAAAAACTCTGAGACAAGTTAAAGGTGAACAGATTACAGGCAGGCTTAATTTTTTCTAAAAATATGCAAGCCTTCAGCTGGGAAATATATGATCTCTGAGCCGATTTCTATTATTATATGTATCATAGCATTCGATCTATAATTTTCACACAACTTAAACGAATAAAACTCTGGTTAATTTGCAATAAAATACAAAGTGCCGAGTCAAAGATGAGAGGAATGCTACCAGCTTTCCAGTCATCCAAAGTGTGCCAGATTGTGATTTAGAAAAATTGGAATAATAAATAATACTAGCAAATTACCTGTCTGATTGACATGGTGCAAAGAATGTAAAGGAAAATAAAAGAGCATTCTGTATAGTCCTCTCCAGGTAAATTTCGGTGTGAAAAGCTTTGAAACCATGGAAGTGGAACAAATGGTAATCTCGCGACTATTCTTCCATCAAATCTAAAAAAAAAGTTAAATAAATCATACATATGGTATAAGAGCAGGAATGCAAATTTGAATAATGAAAATTAGCACTACAGCAAAAAAAGTGATCGTCAAGGCGCAACACGACGTACCTCTGCTTGCGACATTTCAGACTTTCTATCTTCATTTATTTTTTTCTTTGGCACACTAATGAACATAAATCCTTGATTTTTCCTCTCTACTGGCAGAATGTTCTGAATAAATTTCAAGCAAAAAGTTGTGTTGTTTCTCATCAAGAAAATAAAATAGGAACGGAAGTTTTGAAACATTATGATGGAGGTATGCAGTTTCTGACTTTGGCCATTGTGGTGCAGATATCAATCAAACTAGGATCTCATCAACAGATACTTAGCTCACTTATTTTCATGTTGATCCGACCTTTGTGCGATCAGTCATCAATTTTTTCCTTGTTTTTGAACTTGTTCAAAGGCTCAAAAATTTGTTTCGAAAATTGAGAGCTTAATTTCAGATACCAAAGTAGGTAAGTATTGTCCTTGCCTAATCAGCATGTTCCGTATCCACGTGTTAAAACATATTAGTTCCTGGGAAACTGACCACTCAGGGTATAAGCGGAAATATTGAATGAGAATGACGAAACATTCCACTGATAATGTGATCAATGAATGGGATTGACAATCAATGTGATTATATGGCTGGAGGATTATAAGTCAAAACAACTTGCAATATATGGCATAAATTAGCCCTTGTTTTTAGCTGACTAAAACACCTATTGGACTTTAAGGACGCATTCCTTTGTCACATGACAAAATCATTTTCTCTTGTTATTGGACATGAGGACACGAAAAATAAATTAAGAGACTAAAAAAAAACAACTCACATATTATTAAAAACACTTAATAGAGTTGTAAATGCTGAGCCAATGGCAATCATAGATTTCATTTTCTCCAGGTAGAGATCTCGATTGCTAATTTTAAGCCTCTCCTCCTCTCTTTCAATTTTCTTCTTGTGCTGTTTATCCAACGATGTCCCATGAGCTTCTTTCTTCTTCTCTACTGAAAGGTGTAAATTCTTGATCAGTTACAGTTTACAGGTCAAAACGCTCTTCTTAGGTAAAAAAAATTGTCATTATTTCTAAAATGTTTATTTATAATTAAAAATATTATATTATATAATATATTATTATTATAATATTATATTATATAATATATTATTATAATATTATATTGTATAATATATTATTATATTATAATATTATATTGTATAATATATTATTATATTATAATATTATATAATATGTTATTATTATATTATAATAACATATTGTATAATATATTATTATACATTTATAATTAAAGATACAAAAGAGAAGCTTTGAAAATACCTTTTTTGGAAACCTGTTACATTTAGAAATATTTTAAGATGGTGAATAGTCTGCAGTTAGGAGCTGCAGGTCTGTCAGAGAATAGAAACCAAAGGGTGGTATTCTCTCGAAAAATTGATACATTTTGACTACACAATTGATCTGCTATCCGATATAGGTATTAAGGTCATATTTGCAGCTTCTTCATTGGAATAGGTAGTTCATAGAGAAGCTGTGTGATCTAGGTAGACAGAATCATTCTTTTTAATTTTTGACAAAATTGATAAATTCTTCAGAATAGAATTAGAGACAACAATAACAAGAGAAAATTTTGATAAACAGGTTGATTTCGTTGAGTTAATTTCAAGTTCTGGACAAAAGTTCTAAGCTTGAGTTAGAAATAGGTTTTTAAATACGTTTTCTATTTGACTAAATAACAAGTTTTGTACTGTTTCCTTGTAGGTAAATAAATGATCATAACTGAAAAAGTTCAATTTTAAGACGTTTTGTACTCAGGGAGTCATATAATAATATGGAATAATATGATATACCTTGAAAGAAAACACAAAGAAATCAGCAAACCAAATTTTCCCTGTCATACAAATATTTTAGTGTGAATAATTTAGTTGAAGTTATTTTAAAAAATGCTCACAGAGTGTTTAGGGGTATTTCATTGTATCTATCTTCAGGCATTATCACGTTTCTTCTATCAAAGATGAGAGACATACTTTGACAGTTTCTTTGTTCTCCCAAAACATTTGATTCTCTGAGATACAAGGTTTTAGTGGTTAAAGTATCACTTTTCAACAAGCCCATTGCATACCTACTTTTTGAACACATAAAAATTAATCTTTTTTTTATGAAGTAAGCCTTCGGTAAATAATCATTTAAGACACAATGAGACAATGGTTAAATAAATTACGACACTTAATTGGATGCTATTAACGCGGGTGAAAAATGATTTTTAATTCTTGCCTCCCATTAGCATTACTTATACCTAAATATGTCTTTAACGATAAAAAGCATATTAAGCATGACTTACATTTTTTGCTTTGCTTCTCCACTTCTGTCTTTAGTCTTTGATATTTGTCCGTTCTATAAACAAGTAACCATGTCAAGCCTGAAAATTAATCAGTGCTGCACGTCAGTACAATGATACCATTGAGGCACCTATTTTAGTTCTAATGTACCTTTTCACTTATTGAGGGATCTTTAAAAATGATCCCCTCTGATATGTTTGATGCCACCTTCATGATGTACCTACACTCTGCAGAATGCACCTTAAAATAGGGTATGGCAGGCAGCTACTGCTCAACTTGGGTTAAAAAAGAAAAATACACAAAAGTATTCCGAATAAATCAACAAAAAAAAAAAACACAAAAAAATGGGGGAAACAAGACTAAAAACAAGCAAACAGAATGCCTGGGACATTTCAGGGTCGTTTCGACCCCCTCCTTGACCAGGAAACAAAATATAAACAATTATTATACTAACATAATCAAGATTAAAATATTGTCACCTTCCAGCCAAAGTATCACAAGCACCATGCGACGTTTAAAAGTTTCCACCGCTATTTTATTTTTTTACAAAGAAATTTTTAGTTAAAGCTGTCCGAATTTCACTGAATTTTATTTGTGCTGCCATTAAAATTCAGTGAAATTTTCAAACAAGTTCAAGCAACACTTTCTCTGTAAAAAAAATAAAATGGCAGCAGAAATTTTTAAATGACGCATGACCCTTGTGATACTTTGGCCGGAAGGTGACGATATATTATCAACCCCTTTGACCCCCAATCAGGATAACAACAAAAAAGGAGAGGCGTTATCACATGTGATTTCATCCTTAATGTGTTTGTGTTTTATAATTTTGTAAAGTTTTTGGTCTTTGATCGAAAAGAGGGTTGAAACCAACTTGAATCTCAGTGCTCCAGTGGGCCCAAGACAAGTAATTTTGCTGGTAGCTCGATACCCTGGCCGCTTTTTTTAAATTTGCACAAATAATTTCCTTTTTCTATATATTTCCTTACTCCTCCTTTATAGTTTAGGCCGAATTGCAAAAACTTTTCAACTGTTATGCCACCACATGAAAAGAAGGCCATGAAAAATGGAAAGGCCTGTTTGCATTCACATGAAAAACGCTTGTCCTTCAAAAAATTAAGGAAATTTAAAAAAAAGGAAAGAGAGCCATCACATAGATGGCCCAGGGGAAAAAAAGGTTTTCAAAATGGGAAGGCTCAACCTGAGTGGTTGCAATAATTTCCATAAATAAATACTTGAGGCTTTTTTTCATTGACCGTGAACGAAGGCTTATCGATTTCAAGGTCCAGATGGAATTAATTTCAAGATACAAATATCGTAAAACAAATAATGCTTGTCAACTTAAATGGATGATCACTGACTCTTACCACATCATGTTCTATTGCCCCAAACAAGTGAACTATGATTCATTGCATCACTTAAGATAAATAGAGAGCCAAAAACCAGAAAAACAGAAAGCAAGGGATCAGA